GCCCACTCTATGACGTCAGAGAGCGTCTCTGGCGTTGGCTAGCGTCGCGTTCAGGGCGGCGGGAGCGACGGGTGGCGTCTTTGACGCTCGCGGTGTGAACGTAGCATAAGCTGGGAAGTCTGGGTCATTCTTGCAATGCGCAATGAAGCCCGCACTGTATCCCACCATTGCAGTTGTTACCAACACAAGCTTCTCCAGCGGTACTTTTTTCTCCACAAAGAAAGTTTTTGCCGCGTTGTAGATGTCCACTCCCCGTGTAGATGTCCACAGTGGTATCAGCGTGAGGAGCTCTTCTTTAGTAGAGAAATCTTCAAATATCATCCGAATAAACACCATTAGTTGTGCAGTACTGCTGCTGTCCACAGACTCGTCACACTGGATGCTGAACCACCGGCAAGTACTTAAGTCCTTGTCCAGCTGCTCATTCAAGTTTTCGGACATAGCTGACACTCTTCTGGTCATTGTACTATAGCCCCAAGTTGTTCATCGTCTAGACTTGAGATGACATCTGACCGATATTTTTCATCTTTAAAAACAGTCTCCGCGATTATCATCAAAGCCCGTTTAACAATCTCTCCATCAGATAACGTCTTATTATTTTTAATCAGATAATGTGTAGCTCTGAATGAAGCTTCGGTTGCCTTTTTGGACTTCTTCAGCGGTCTTGTGAAAAAAGACTGCTGCTTGGTCAAAGCAGCCTTTAACTGATGTGCTTTCTCCGCCCGAGGCGCACTCTTGGGGGCGAAGTTTGTGTGGAAGCTGCCGTGAGTGGTTTGATAGTGTCTTTCCACATTGTGCCTCTTTGAAATCGCCACCGTAGCTCCACAAATGAGACACACACTTATCTCGTATTTATGTAAAAAAGAACTCTTCTTCCCAGTCTTTGTAAAAAATATATGTGTTATTTCTCTTCTCAGCCATACTTTTTAGCGCGATGTAATCATGGATGTATTAGCAAAAGCGGGGTTAATTGTCATGCGCAGGTGACAGGTGAACTATGACCTCGAAACATACAAATGCATTGTTTTTATACATATATATTTTTTATTTTGATTACCACCATAAAATTTGCATGTGTGAAACTTTCACTAGAATTTACATAAGGCGCAGCATTAAAAAAATATATATTTATATTTTTTGCAAAACACAAGGGCAACTTGCTATTTTTAGAGCAAGTCCGCGGGCGACTGAGATGAAGCCAATGGGCAACCGGGTGCCCGCGGGCATAGGGTTGGTGACCCGTGCTGTAGATTGACACTGAGTCTGAGTCGATGTCCAAGCTGATCCCACACATGTTCGATTGGGGAAAGATCGGGGGACCTGGCTGGCCACAGGAGAACCTCAGCATGATGCCGGCGGTCCATAGACACATGTGCCGTGTGGATGGACATTGTCTTGTTGAAAGGCTGCACCAGAGTGCTGCCTCAGGAGGGGTAAGACATGCGGACGCAGGATGTCACTGGCGTAGTGCTGTGCCGTCAGAGTCCCCTGAATCGCTGCCAGAGATGACCTGAAGTCATACTCTATGGCTCCCCAAACCATGATGCCAGGAGTAACGCTGGTGTGTCACTCCACAGCATTGGCAGGATTGGTCCTCTCCCTGCGGCGCCGCCATATGCACACATGACGGTCATCCGTAGTAATGCAGAACTCATCATCATTCCATGCCTCCCAGTGACAGCACCACTCCAAATCAGCCATCTCTGCGCTGGTGTTAACTTGCAGCCTGTCTACACATCCCTGTGCAGAAAAATAAAGGGTTCCATTTAACATGGTATTCACCACAGTCCAAGGAGGACTACACTAATATTCAACATACACCAGCTTTATCCATGCAAAACACCAAGACAAGCTTAAGCTACAGACTGGTATCAGAGATGACACAGGACAAGGATTCACTATTGTGAATAGCACATCTTTACCTCAACCACTGTGACCAACTCGACCAGGCCAAGACGCTGATGGGTTTGTCGTCGACCTGGTCAACAGCTGGTGACTCCACAGGCTGGGGGACCTGAATGCTGCTCTGCATGTCATCCTCCCATAAAGGCTCAACTGCAAGAAAACATGGATTTGCCCGGTCAAGCGTCTGAGCCTGAGGAACTGAGAGATGATCTACTGGTGGGATTTATGCTGATGGAGTTTACCTCTGTTTCGCTTCCTATGAAAGAGGCGCCGGGCCACCCAGTTGAAGACCTTAACAATTCGGTTCTTCACTGTTTTAAGCTGTGGCACTGTATCACAGCTACTCGGTGGTAGCGCCTTAGGAGTAAAGCCCTAGGGTGTTGGTTAATATGTATCAGTTAAGCAAACCAATTCCATCCATTCATTCATCCGTCCATCCATCCATCCATTTTGTTACTCTAATTTTAAAGGAAGGGTAAATATATGGGCTGATATTTGTGCCATTAGAAACTGAAACTGAATTTATTAGTTGAATCTGAATTCAGTTCGCAAACTGAGTGCTGTAGACATGCATCAGACCAAATGCATAGCACCTCAAACCCGCTTTATATTGTGAGAAGTGGTGGTACGATAAAGATTAAAATATAGCAGTGCCGGTACTGCTTAATTTTTATTACATATATGATAACTGTGTATATGATCCCGCATTTGCTCTTGTGACATCCTGGCACATGCTTCCACTTTACCCCGACTTGCAGAACTGTCATAAACGTGGAAATGAGTTGCATTGTGAACCTGCGGTTGATTACTTTTCTTCGAGGACCCAGATTGTGCATCTCAATAAGTTGAAATTAAATTTGCTAACTGAATTTAGATTCAACTCATAAATTCAGATTCAACTCATAAATTCAGATTCAACTCATAAATTCAGATTCAGTTTCTAGTGGCACAAATATCAGCCCATATAAATACCAGTGACCTCCAGCAGACCAGCAAGTCATCCACATCCCAATAGTTTGCAAGTATCCCAACCTTTGTGAAGAACTTGTGGCGACGGATCTTCTGCAATGAAGGGCGATCCTCTGGATTTATTTGGAATATTTTTCCAAGCAGTTTTCCAGCTGCTTCAGAGACATTTTGGGGAACAATATATGTTGCTGCTTTGATATTTTCCACCATCTCCAAAAAACCGCCATAATCAAAGGCGTTTCCCCCAACCAGAAGCTGGTACCTGTAGTAAGAAAGGCAGCAAAGGGGTTTGAGGTCTTTCACATTTGACATAAAAACACTGCGCTCATGCACATTTCAGGTGTTGCACATTCTTGGCCCCGTGTGTGACCATCAAGGATGAGCATGAGACCAGCATTAACTGTATCCACTGAAAGAAGAGACACAACGCTAAATTCCTTTCAGCTGTGTGCCAGTATTCATATTTCTTTTCTCTTTCAAGAAGAAAAAACATATTTATGCCTGTTTCAAGCGTGTCTTCTTAAAATACTAAACAGATATTAGTAGCCATGCCGATCTTTGGCGGGAAGGAGGGTTGATAGGGTGTACATACATGACACAGCCCAGTGCCCAGACTTCTGCTTCAGTTCCACATCCCTCCCGTTTCCACACTTCTGGAGCCATATAATATGGTGTTCCACAAACTTCTC